CATTATAATATAGTATAGATATACATACATAAAATGGTAAATCGGGCGATTTACAATACTCCTAACCTAAGTCACAAAAAATTGAAAGAACATACTTATTTAAAATAATAATAACAACCCGTCAATCCAATGAAGAAAATAAATTCTAACTCCGGCGGCTCTGCATAATAACATCCGGTGGCTAAACCGATCCGATTAAACCATGGAAGCAATCTTGAATTGTATCCTTCAAATCTTCCAGGTTTCTAGAATTTTACTTCCGTGTAAAGACCAAGAATCTCTTGCAATCACATTTCCAAACCTTGAAAGTTCTAAGAAAACTCGTTATACCAAAAAATCAAATCAAGAATCATGATTCTTATCTATATAAATCCACAATATATCAATCTAAACCATTCCCAAATCAAATTCCAATTCATAATTCATCAATCCACAATCTCCGGCGGGATTCAGCAATGGCATCGGAATCCATCTCCCAGCTTCACTTCCTCTTGATTCCCTTATTAGCCCCTGGTCATACCATCCCCATGATCGACATGGCCAAACTGCTCGCACAACGGCCGAATGTGGTGGTGACCATCGTCACCACACCCCTCAATGCCATTCGATATGGTCCTAACCTCCAACAACACATCAACTCCGGACTCCCATTTCCGGCAGCCGAGGCTGGACTACCGGAGGGATGCGAAAGTGCAGATGCTCTACCGGGTCTTCATTTACTCCCAAACTTTTCAGTTGCAATTGATATGTTGCAAGAAAGACTTGAACAACGGTTCGAATCGCTAGACCCACGACCGAGCTGTAACACCCCCAGAACCCCGTAGCAATGATATTGTCTGCTTTGACTAACCTGCCCGCTCAACCACAAAGCAGTAGTCGCACGGTTTTGTTTCTGGCAGCCGCACAACGCAAGCCCCAAAACCGGTCATGCTAGGATGAGGTATCCACACCCTTATAAGGAGTGCTTAGTTCTCCTCACCAACCGATGTGGGACGGGTTGTTACACGAGCTGTATTATATCTGATAGATACATGCTCTGGACTAAGTACGAGATACCAAGGATAATCTTTGATGGAATGAGTTGTTTTAAGCAGTTGTGTACTCATCATTTGTATGCATCCAAGGTGCTTGATGGTTTGCCTGACTCAGAACCTTTTGTTCTCCCTGGATTGCCACACCAGATTGAGATAACCAAAGTGCAGCTGCCACAAGAGTTCAATCCTGTCGATTTAGCCACAAGGGAGCAACTCGAACGAGTGAGGGAAACCGAGTTGAGAGCTTACGGGTTGGTGATCAATAGTTTTGAGGAGTTGGAGCAAGAATATGTTAATGAGCTTAAGAAGTTGAAAAATGGTAGGGTTTGGTGTTTAGGACCGTTGTCATTGACCAATGATAACAATTTGGGTAAAGCCGTAAGAGGAAACAACGCATCCATCGATGAGCAGCGTATCTTGAACTGGCTTGATTCCAAAGAACCTGTATTCGTAATCTATGCTTGTTTCGGTAGCAGTAGTCAGGTCATCCCTCCACAACTGATTGAGCTCGGTTTAGGCCTAGAAGCATCTAACCGCCCATTCATATGGGTGATTCGAGCGGGTGATAGAGCCAAGGAGATCGAGGAATGGATAAAAGAAACTGGGTTCGAAGAACGAACAAACGGTAGAGGACTTTTGATCAGAGATTGGACTTGGACTCCACAACTCCTAATCTTGTCACACCCTTCTGTCGAGGGTTCTCGACTCACTGCGGTTGGAACTCGATCCTCGAAGGAGTTTGTGCAGGTGTGCCACTGATTACGTGGCCGCTGTTTGGTGATCAGTTCTTGAACGAGAAACTAGTAGTCAAAGTGTTGGGGGTTGGCGTGGCGGTTGGGGCTCAACGAGTTGTGCATTGGGGTATGGAAGACAAATTTGGGATTACGGTGAGAAGCGAACAGGTTTCAAATGCTATAAACAAAGCGATGGATGTCGGAACCCAAGGAAACGAGAGAAGAAAGAAAGTGAAACTACTTGCGAAGGTAGCGAACAAAGCAATAGAAGAGGGAGGGTCTTCTTACAAGAACTTGACACTACTAATGCAAGATATCATGGAAAGTTGAAAAGGACAAGACCCATTGAGTTGAAGCCAACATTGCTCTTGCAATTGGGCCGTGCAAAAAACCGTTAAACCGTACAACCCAACCCATTAAATTCAACCCGTCAACAGCCAACCACTAATTAATAAGGTTGAAATTGAGTTAGGCATAACTCTTTCCAACCCTTCGCTAATATATAATTTTAATAAATAAAAAAATTATATTTGTATACGATAAGTTTGAATATTATTTTTGTTCTTTGTCATTTTTGGGGAATGATTTTCTCAATTTTTGTGCCTAATTCTCATCATCTATTTACATTTGTGTACTTGTGTTATCGTTCATAAATTTAATAGAAGGAAAAGAATTGGATTATGTTATGCATACAAATGTATGAAACTGAGTAATGGATAATTATACTATATATATATATATATAGACTTGGGATCATGTGAGACCAGCCTGTTTTCGTGAGACCCGTGAGACCAACATTTTACACTTGAAACTTCACAGCAAAAATGCTGTGAAGGTGACTTTTTAAAACCTT